TTTTAATTTTATTTTTTTAAGAGAGGTAGAGGTGTGGGAGGGACGGAGAGGGAGGGAGAGGAGGAGAGAGAGAAGCAGACGCCCCTCTGAGCATGGAGCTGGACATGGGGCTTGACCTCATGACCTTGAGATCATGACCTGAGCCGGAATCAAGAGTGGGCCACCCGCGCGCCCCGGACCTATGTTTTGTAAATTAAGTCTGATGGGACTGTGGAGTGAACACGGGGGCAGAGGAAATCCCTGCCTCATGTGTGCCCATTTTCCTTGCGGCCCGTCCGCAAACACATTCCCAGGGCCCGTGAACACACAACTCCAGTGGGCCCACAGGGCGTGCGAATCAGCGAGGCTCCACGCAAGAGAAAAGCAAGTGTTTTGTTGCATTGATGACCAACAGCCTGAGAAGCCGTGCTTTCCGTTTGAACCAGAACCTGGCTTCGAACACAGTAAGAGACTCGGACAGCAAGGAAATATGCCTGTCCCTCCCTACTTGGCGCCCCACGTTAGCTTATCACTTAGGCTGGAAACGTCTTGATGGAGAGAAGAAGGCAGAGCAGCCTGTGTGCAGTCCTTTACCTCCCAGACCCCCTTCCTTCCCAGCTTCCCCAGGGTGGACAGGGTGGGCAGGAGGCACATGTATGAAGAAATGAGTGCAAAATGCTGAGAGGTGGCTTTTCCACATTTCCACCCCCTTCATAAGGACAGAATGCATGTGTGTGCGTTAGCTAGGAGATGTAAATTGTCTAACCTCGGAGACACCCCAGAGGCAGGAAGTGCTCTTGTGTTTGCAGTTAAAATATAAAGATGAACAAGAAGATTCACAGTAATATCTTAACATTTATTTTTTCTCTTCTTAGAATGACTAAGAACATCATGACAAGTCGAGGCAGAGACCACGGGAAAAAGGAAGAAGCTTTATATTTCTGTACTTTGAACCACACTTTTTTCCTTGCCTTTTGAGCAAGGGGTCTTACATTTCCCTTTTTCGTTGGTCCCCAACAGGTGTATACATCCCTGCCCTGCACCCTGCTCTGTCATCTGTGGTCCTGAGTGGCCCCCCGGGGGAGCACTGGCTTCTTGTGCTCTCGGAGAAGGAGGGCCCCATGCAGGTGAGCTGACTTCCTAATGAAAACTCTCATTTTTTAAACCAGACGATAACAGAAGCCAACCGGTTTGAGGCCTTCCCCCGCCCTCCTGCTTATGTAAATCTCTGAGGTGTTATTTTCCATGCCTCTGGGAAGTCCGAAGACCCAACACACTTTTGCATAAACATAAATGATAAATTTGTCTTAGGGTTCCTCTTTCTGAAACTCTTGAACTGACATTTGGCTGGAGGCTGTTTTATATTTTACCTCCAGTTCATGCTCAGCCTTTTGGATTTTATTAAAAATAGTATGCAAGAAATGGGGATGGAACTCATGTGAGCAGAAGGCCGGAGGTGTGCCCCATGGGGTCACTGGAGACACAGCTGGAAGGGGCATGGAGGTCATCCAGGTCAGCTTTCTACCTAGACTCAAGTGGAAAGGCAAGGAATTGTCAAAAGCACTCAAAATTCTTAAAAAAAAAAAGTTTAGGCTGAGAGAGAGAAAGCTAATGTGAATGTCAAACTTTCTAGAAGTTTCTGGGGGAGTAATATGTGGAAAATTAAATCCTGATCCATGAATGCAACATGGAGGGGAACCAGAGGGGCAGTGAGCAGAGCAGGCTGTCCCCATCTGTGGCCCGGTCACCCCCGCTCCCCCTGGTTATAGCAGCTCTCCCCGGAGCCACAGAGGCCCCTTGATGGTCAGTCAGCTGTGGGGGCTGGGAGGAGGCTGCTCTCTTGCCCACCCCTGGGCAGGGTGCCCCTGGGAGCTGCTCAGCCCTAGAGGCTCACTCTCCAGCCGTCCCGTAATGCCCCATATTAAATCCCTCTCCTCATAAACCAGCTGCATCGGATTCTGTTGTCCGCAGCGGAACCCTGGCTGATGTAGCAACGAGCACAGATTATGGGGTGGCGACGGCTCGCTTGTCTGATTCAAGCCAGGCTCTCAGACGTTTTCAGTGGCACAGATGTGGCTGCTTATGTCTCCCGGTCCCATGCTCCAGAGTCCTGGTCAGCCGTGGTATTCTGATGACCATTCTGGCCTTGCTTGTTCTCCTGGGAGCCGGGCCCTCAGGGGGCTGCGCACGCGCCTGGGGCTGCGCCTCCCTGGACCCGTGGGAATCAGGGAGCCCTCTTCCAAGGCCGCGTCTTCACCTCCGACCCGGGCCTATTTCTCGGATGCTTTTCAGGGAGGCTTGGGTTTCCAGACGTGTATTTTTCAGCGCTGTGAGTGGAAAGCACTGTCCTGCGGGCCCTCTTGGGAGACGCAGTCAGGGTGAAAGACGACAAATCCACAACCCCATCTGCGCAAACCCGGAATCCTTGCCCTGCCTGACACCCCGGGATCACGGTCAGCCCCGCTCCAGTCACAGTCCGCCCACCACGAACGCCGCTGGTCCAGACTACCGCGCGCGGCTAGTGCAGGTGCCGGGAACCAAGACCCTGGCAAGTGCGCCAAATCCCACTAACCCAGCCCCAGGCCAAATCATCTTCGTGCTCCCTGGTCTCCCAGCATCAGCAAAATAAGCAGATTTGGCTGTTACACTTCAGCAAATTCTTTTAATTCTCGGGACATGCGGTCCCTCCGCTTCTGGGTTTCGCAGTGTCACTGGCCCCCATGACTTGTTGAGCACGTCCCTGCACACGCAGACTGTGGCTGCTCACATTTTCTTCAGAGAGAAGCCCAACCCCGGGCAGGCCCCTGGACGTCAGAGGCAAGGTGGGTCGCAGTGGGCTGCCCAGCTCTGACTCCAGAGCCCCATAACCCATGAAGCTGCGTCTGAGTGGGCCCTGGGCAGGCTGGCGCCTCCCGCTGGTTCCGGCCAGGTGCAGCCCACCCCGGGGATCCTGGTGTTGCTAGAGCTTCCGGCCATGCACCCCTCTGGACGCGGGTCTCTAACCTGCGGGGTGTGCATGTCAGTCAGAAGGTGTTTTCCCTATGAAACTTCATTTCTTTCTATTCTGAGAAGTGTAATAAGTAAATTTTGCCCTGTGTTTTGAAGTGATGTGCCAAGGGGGAAAAGTAAAGCAGAGCAGGTACGGAGATTAGCCGTGCTGAAGACGGGGACAACAGTTTCCGAAATATGAGTGATTCAGGGTAGACCTCAAGGTCTTGATGGACATCTGGGAGGACGAGCTCTCCGTGCAAACTTTAGGGGGATAATTGTCCTGGTGCAGACAGTGTTGGCAGCTCAGTGACGAGGGGAAAAGAAGCAGGAGATGGGGCCTAGGAGGCCGGGAGGGAAGTCGGTGGGGCGTTGCTGGCGCACAAGGGGCAATGAGAACCCACTGCCAGGGTCTGACCACACGACCATGGTGCTAGCAATGGGGGGTGTGGAGGAAAAACACCAGCAAGGAGACGGTGAGCCCAGAGCTTGATGGAGGAGGGACCTCGGCCAGGGTGGGGGTGCTGGCAGTCCAGACTGAGATGGTGTCTGTGTATGGATGTTTTAGTACTTTATCATGGAAGACTGAAAACATACAAAAGCAGAGACTAGTGCCAAACCCCCTTCCTCCCACGATGTACCTGCCACCCAGCTTCAGACTTGGTGCACCCCCGGCCAGCCCCATTTCATCACACCCACCCTGCTCTTACTGAGTTATTTCAAACAGGCTTGTATCATTTGATCCACAAATACCTCAGAATGCGTTCTTACAGATTTTTTAAATACCTCTATTTTTAAAATGAAACATAACTGTAACACTATCACGCATACCTAAAAGCATCCTTTCTTGATCAAAACTCTTCACAGTGTAGGGACAGAGGGTATATACCTCAACACCATTAAAACCATCTATGAAAACCCCACAGCGAATATCATTCTCAATGGGGAACAACTGAGAGCTTTTCCCCGAAGGTCAGGAGCACAGCAGGGATGTCCACTATCACCACTGCTATGCAACATAGTACTAGAAGTCCCAGCCTCAGCAATCAGACAACAAAAAGAAATAAAAGGCATCTGAAACATACACTAATTTCTTAACATTAGTATACAAATTTCCTTTAGAATTTCCTAAGCGGTATTTTTCTTAACTTGGTTTGAGTCAGGATGCAAACGAGGCTGGCGGTCCCTTTGGTTGATGTGTGTCAAGTATCACAGAGCTTGTAGGTCTTCCCTCCCCCTTCACTTCCTCCCCCACCCTCCCTCCCTCCTCCCGCCCTCCCTCACTCTTTCCCTCCTTTCTTCTTACCTCCCTTTCTTCCTCTCTCCCTCCTTCCTCCCTCCTTTCTCTCCCTCCCTCATTCCTCCCTCCCTCCCTCTTTCCCCTCCCTCCCCCCTTCCTTCCACCCACCCACCCATCATTTATTTGTTGGAGAAACCTGCTCCTGTGTCCTGTAGATGTTTCCAGTGTGGGTTTCGTTGACTGCGCTCATGGTGCCATCTCACGGTGCGGTGCTGTAGCTTCATGTAGTTCCTGTGAGCTGGCGGTTTGATCTAGAAGCTTGACAGGATCCAGTTCTGATATTTTGGGCAGGAGTACTTTGTAGGTGACATTGAATACTTCCATCAAGAGGCACAGAATATTAGGCTGTTTTAATGATAATCTAATCAGTAGGTGTCCCATGAAATATCTGGTCAAGATAGTGGTTTTCTGTTTCTTTTATTCCTTCTTCACTTATTGGGAGAATGATTTATTCCCACATCAACTATTTAATGGTGGGGAAATAGCATTTGGAGACTACAGTCCCTGGAAAGGTGCTCACTGCTGTCATATTGGTAATTATTTCTACGCCTTTTCAGTGGACAGACCTAGGAAATAAATTATCTTTTTTTTTTTAAAGCAGGGTTTCACATCAGCTTATGCTGATACTTCCAACTCAAATTTAGATTTGTATGGCTATTAAATTTTTAATTTAATATCTCAAATTTCTTTTCTCTAACGTTAAAAATCTTTGTCTGAAATAACACAAGCCTTTTGCTTTTGGAAGCTCCACTTAGAGGCTGCTTCTGTGGTTCTTCAGATGATTTTGTAAAGTATTAAATATCCTGCTTAAATTCCTGTCCCTGTAAAGCACTGGCGGGGATCCTTTTGTCTGCAGCTGAAGCCTGGCAGTATAAACGGTGTAGCAGGAGGGGTGGCTCTGGGCACCGTCTGGGAAGGACCCAGGTACCTCTCAGAGTTAAACCAACTGATGCAGATGGTCCCCAGTGCGACAGCTGTTGGAGACACGTTGAGCAGAGACCTGAGTCACTCAGTTGCATCTACTCACAAATTCCAATTCACCAAAATTTGTGCTTCTGGTTTTCAACAGGAGTACTTTTCCCCCCTTCATCCTTTCCCCTAAATCTGACCCTGAAGAACACATCAGGTTAGGCTCAGAGCAGGTGTGTGGGATTTTGTCTCACCCGTGGACTCTGGTCACTTGAACAAGTCTCTCGGTGGCCGCCCCATGACCACTTCAGAGCAGGTGAACTTGGGAGTTTCAGATATGAATGCGCACGGGCAAGAAGAACTGCTACACTGGGACCAGCTTGTCACTCCAGGGGCCCAAGGATGGCCTTGAGCTGGGCTTTGGATCAGGGACAAGTCATGCGAATTGGACGTTCTCATAACTTTCCACGGCGTCTTCATCCTGAGACCTGAGCTCTCCAGCTGAGTCCTCTGGGAGTCGTGTCTTCACGGCAGAGTAGACAACCGAGTCATGCTGGGGTGAAAAGGAGATAGAGGAAGAACTGGAAAGAGAGAGGGCGGATGGGGCTGGAGGTAGCAGAGGGACAGAACACAGTCAGGGACTGATACTCACCTTGTCTAGAGACGTTCTGGAGGTGCGGGCTGTGGGGAGAAATGGTCTCACTGAACTATGGGCACTATGACCCATTCAGAACAGCCTGAGAGCTTTCCTCCAGAGGCTGGAGCCACTGAAACTTTTCCATTCATGGTTATGTTTCCCGCACCCCAACCCCCAACATGTCCCATGACACATGTGATTTTCTGTTTTACCATTTCTTGGTCCAGACTTCTGTAAGTTCTTTAGAAGCTCCATTGATCCGTGAGGTCCCTCCTTACCACCACACCAAGAAACCTTGTTCCCTTCCTTTACCAGATATTGCCACAGAATGTCACTCTGTTTTAACTTTTGCCTCTCTTAACCTATAGCACCTCCATCGCACTCCAGCCTCAGAGCAGCCCCGTGATGGCTCGGCACGTCCCCATGAGAGCCTTCACATGTGTGCCCATGGGAGAACTCTGTCTCACATTACAGGGTTCTAGTTCTTACTTTCTGCAGTTTTCTAGAGGTGGAGCTGTAGTAAGAGGGAAGGCTAGTAGGAGGGATTTGGAGGATCCTACATGTTAGAAATTAAGAGTCTCAGGGAAGAGGATGAAAGTATCAGAGCCATGTAGTGACTTATGGTGACAGAGAACAAAAAAAAAATGCCTCTGGGACAATTGAGGCTCCTCTCTTTATCATCATATTCTTTCCATTGAACTTTCAGGGTTATAGATATTTTAAATGATGTGACAGAAGCTATGCACTCACTTCCCGGGATGATAGTCATGTATGTGGACTTTGCATGCTATTTTAGGGGCTTCATGCAAGCCTCAAGGAACTGGGGAAGATATCTCGCTACACATCACTAATACATAAAGCTCGTGAGCGACAACTAGTCCTGCCCCAGTGTGCTTAGGGTTAGCTTCCATGGTGCTCTGACAAGTGCGTCAAAGGAAGAGGGTGGAGAACAGCAAGTGGCCGGGCTGGCTTCGTGAGATGCCGTCAGTCAACAGAAACAACTTGGAGGCAGCTCTAATTCTACCATTCTGAAGGTCCCAGTTAGTGGGGATGGCCTGAGAAAGCAGAGTGACAGACGAAGCTGGTGATCTGTGTGGGTCAGATACAGCGATGGGCTCTGGGAGCCCAAAATACCACAAGACAGAAGACCTGGTCTTAGCTTTGCCTTTTTCAGGATTTGTGATCATTGGGAGCAATGATGTTTGACATCATTTGTAAAAGAAGTTCAATATCAGGTTACAGTTGAAATTTCTACGAGACACAAAGATACTGGGGATTTTAAATTCCCAAGTGAGGTGTCATCGTTGGAAAAGCAACCTATGAAATGGGAGAGAGCATATTTGCAAACCATATATCTGATAAGTGGTTAATATCCAAAATACATAAGGAATTCACACAAGTCAATAGCCAAAATACTACTACTAACTTAATTTAAAAAAATCGGCAAAGAACAATCATTTCTCCAAGGACATACAGACGGCCAACAGATACTGAAAAGGTGCTCACCATCACTTATCGTTAGGGAGATACAGACAAGACCACCATGAGATGTGACCTTACACCTGTTAAGATGGTGGCGTTAAAAAGGCATAGATGGCAAGTGCTGGTAAGAATGTGAAGAAAAGGGAGCCCTCCTGTACCGTTGGTGGGGGTGTAAGGCAGTGCCACCATTGTGGAGAACCATATGGAGGGTCTTCAAAAAACTAAGAAGAGAACTACTGCATGATCCAGCAACCCCACTTCTGCGTATACACGCACGGAATTGAAGTCGGGGTCTTGAAGAGATGTCTGGACCCCATGTTTCCTGCCACATTGTTCATGTAGTCAAGAAATGGGAACAACCTAGGTGTCCATTAACAGATGAATAAAGAATATGTGATACACACACACACACACACACACCCATAGTAGAGCATGATTCAGCCATAAAAAGGCAGGAAATCCTGACATTTTGACAACAGGGATGGACCTGGAAGTTGCTGTGCGAAGTAAAATAATCCAGACACAGAAAGGAAAATACCGTATGTCCTCACTTCATATGTGCGATCTAAAATAGGCAAGCTCATAGAAAAAGACAGTAGAACAGTGGTACCCAAGGGCTGTGGGGAGGGGCAGCAGAAGTGACGGCCACAAGGTAAAAAGTTGAGTCACACAAGATGGACAAGCTCCACACAGCATCATGCCTCTAGCTAATGACACTGGATCGCACACTTGCAATGTGCTAAGAGGGTAAATCTTACGTTAAGAGTTCTAACATGCACACAGATAATAATAGTAATAATGCGGGTGGAAGGAAACTCTAAGAGATAATACATATGCTTATGGCTTGATGATGCCGATGGGTTCACTGGTGTACGCTTCTCCCTACATCACCCACTTTTATACATTAAATAGGTACAGCCTTTTTTCATGTCAGAGAAAGTGGTGAGCTACTTAGGATATGCAAGAACATGGATGAGGGGTAGAGCGTTCTGTTAGGGGACAGAAGCTAGACAAAGGGACTACGTTACATATGATTCTATTTACAGGAAATTGTAGAGAAGCAAAACTCTAGGGACAGAAAGAGGGTCAGTGGTGGACAACGCGGAGCTGGAAAAGTTATCTGCAAAGGAGCAGGAAGCGACTTTCTGGGGTGCTGGAAATGCCCCAGGTCTTGGAGATGGTGGTGGGTCTGGGCCTGGATACGCTGGTTAGCATTAATCAAATTGTGCATCTAAAATTAGTGAATTATACTTTGTATGCAGGTTATACCTCAATAAACCTATTTAAAACAATAAATTTGAGTAGAAGAGGAACTCGAGTGCATCACAGTATGATTATAAAGCTTGTGTCTCAGTGATGCGTTAGTACTGGTGTGTGTGCATGTTCTCACTGCCTGACAGTAAAAATACTTGAGATCCACCGGTCTAGAAGGATGAGAGCGCGGAGATGCAGCTGGTGGGATTACCAGGACATTGCTGGGGCAGCAGGGACCTGAATCCCCAGTTGTTCCCAGGGACAGATGGGGTTCAGCTTGGACAGACGAGAGTGTATCCAAGGAAGCCCTGTCCAGTAGGGCTGATGGGTACCAGGGGACTCCAGCGGTAGGAAGCTGGATGTGAGTGCTGGGGTGTGAGGACACTAAAGGGTCACAAACAGCTGCAGGGATCGGAGATGTCCAACGGTGCCAAAGGAGCTACGGGAAGGAGCATTCAGCAGGGAACCTCAGAAGAGAGTGTGCACACACCTCCTGGGGAGGACCCACTTCTGCACCTGCTGGACAGACAGGTGGACGCCAGCTCCCAAGCACCAGCTGAGCGCGTCCTTCCCTGCTCAGGTCCCCAGTGCCCTCCAGGCCAGTGAGGGGTGGCAAGCCCCAGAAACAGAGAAGCCAGCTCCATCCTGCCCTCTTGCCCCTCCAGCTCCCATCCTGAAATTTGCCTGAGCCAGTGGAGGGCTGAGTGTTCTGGCTGCTGAATGGCGACTGTACCGTACAGCGCCCACATGCTGTCCGTCGCCCGAGAGATTGGAGAATGTTGAAAAGCCTGTGCAGCCAAAATGTTCATCTGAAGTGGCGGGAAGAGCTCCCACAGAGTCAAGTTTCAAGAAATGGTGGGAAACACCATTTTTGTGATTTGGACCAGGTCTTACTTGTCCAGGGTATCGATCACACAGCGTTGTTCGTATAGACCCACTGAGCATTTGTCTATGTATACGTCCATTGTGGGAGCGTGTCTCTGTGAATGTCCTCACCACATAGTAGGTGGCTCGTAAACCTCATCACTTGATTACTTAATTCATCATTTAAAAGACATTTTCAGGGGCGCCTGGGTGGCTGAGTCGGTTAACCTCTGCCTTCAGCTCAGGTCATGATTCTGGGGTCCTGGGGTGGAGCCCTGCGTCAGGCTCCCTGCTCTGCGGGGACTCTGCTTCTCCCTCTTCCCCTGCCCTCACTGGCTTGTTCATGCTTTCTCTCTCAAATATATAAATAAATCTTAAAAAAGGGGAAAAAAATTCATACATACATTTTCATGATGATGGGAGATGTTCAGTTTTTGCTCTGATCATCAGCAAAGATACATGCTATATTTTTTAGTGTCTTTTTTCTCTCTTTAGACTCTAAGCACCACTGTAGAGGGTTTTATCTGCTTTGTTTGTTGATCGACCCAGTGTCCGTTCCGCAGTGCTCAGCACCCAGCACGTGTTGAATGAAGCAACAGAGTCCGCAGCCGGAATCTTCCCCAGGACTTACCGGCCCCTTTCCGTCCCAGCTGCATAAACTGGATCTCGGAGTACACCAAGTCTCCCTCTCCGGCGTGCACTGCAAGGGACAAACAGCACTGTCCAGGCCACCCCCGTCAGAGGTACGCGATACCCGTCTCCTCCTCCATTCCTCCCCATGCTTCTTGGACACGGAGCGAGGTGGTGGCTTCCTGCGGGTCTGGGTTTGGGATACCATAGGACACCAGGCCTCCGCCAGGCCTCCAGGTCTTTACCGCTCCCTGGCTCCAGCGGGACGGCTTCCCTACCGGGCTCCTCACCTTTGTCATATGACCACGGCAGCTCCCTTGGGGCAGGGCACCCGGCCTGGGGCGCCTCTTCCGGGCCTGTGGCGGGAGGGCTCCTGAGAGACAGGGAGAGGCATGATCACCCCTGGCACAGCATATGGGGCCGGAAGTGGGATGGCCAGAGAGGAGGGGGCACGGGAGCACGTCAGCGGAAAGCAGGGGACCAGGGACACAGAGAGGAAGGGGCATAGTGGGGCGGGGGGAACAGGAAGGGAGGGGTCAGCCGATGGCAGGGTACCGGGAGCAGGAATGCTTTAACTGGACCATCAGCAGGTCCATATAGGGCCAGACTGTTCTTTTGAGAACGACCCAAGGACCACGGTATGGGCCGGCCGCCGGGGAACAAGGCTGGCCACTCTCTGACCGCTTAGTGAGAAGCATCTCACAGACCATGATAGGAGCTGTCAGAAAGTTCTAGAAGTTGTGATTTTGGTCGTTTCCAGGGATGTGAAAATGCGGGCATGTAGCCAGAGGGACAGAGAGACACGGCTTGACCTAACTGTGTGAACCCAGTTCTGCATATTCTGTTCCTGGAAGACCCGGAAGGCTGAGGCCTCACCTGGCTGTGTTTCCGGGAAAACCATGTCCTGCAAAACAAAGCAAAGGCACGTTTGTGTCAGCAGAGGGAGCTCGTTCTCAGACAGTTCACAGGGGAACCGGCCTTAGAAAGGGGGCAGAAAAAGTCAATTCAGGAAGCAGGAGAGACTGGGGCCTCTGAGAGACAAAGTGAGGGTTTTGGAGGGGTGGGGGGGGGTGGGGAGGGCCTGGTGGTGGGTATTACGGAGGGTGGGGACTGCATGGAGCGCTGGGTGTGGTGCATAAACAACGAATCTTGGAACACTGAAAAAATAAAATTAAATTAAACAAACCCCCCTCCCCAAAACAAGAAGACGCCTGGGTGGCTCAGTGGGTTAAAACATCTGCCTTCTGCTCAGGTCATGACCCCAGGGTCCTGGGATCCGATCTCTGCTCAGCAGGGAGCCTGCTTCCTCCCCTCTCTCTTTGCCTGCCTCTCTGCCTGCTTGTGATCTCTGTCTGTCAGATAAATACATAAAATTGTAAAAAAAAAAAAAAAAAAAACCAGAAAAAAAAAAAAGAAAAAGTCAATTCGAACATGCACCCAGTCATGGATTTTTAGGAAAACGATGTGGAAAAGGATGGAACAAAATGCGTAACTGGGGACAGGGCTACACACTCCTGGGTCAGACATGCTGGAGACTTGATTAAGGTTCAAGGCTGTGACGATGGACGACCCCAAGAAGCCCTGAATAAGTATAGTCCGGCACACAGAGCCGGGAGGGCTGCCGGAGGACTTTGGGGAGCCTCGGTGGTCACGCCCAGAGCAGGCTCGGGCTCCTGTTCCCACTCCGGCCCTCGGAGAAGGCTTGTCTTCAAAGCAGCCCACAACGGGCACAGGGGCGGTGCTGAGAACCACAGGATGGGTTGAACCGAACTGATTAAAACCAAGAAACAGAGTTGGGGGATGTGGGCAATTGTTCTAGAGCCCGAACAGCGTCTGTGTGCGTTACCCACACGAGGCCTGTGGCCTCTGGCCTCTGAAACTAGTCTGAGCGCAGCCCAGGTGAGAAGCCTGTGGGAGTGCAACTCTCCCCCAGGTAGGGGAGAAGCTGGCAGGCTGGCCCTCAGGGACACGGGGTGGAGGGTTCAGGCTTTGGCGCCGGGAGGTCTCCAAGGAGGAGGAAGGCTACGGGGTAACCAGCTCCCGCTTTCAGAGCCCTGTGACATACTGACTGCCCATTCGTGAAGGATGTAGGATGGGTGGCAGTGTTGTAGTTGACCCATCTGTAGGAGCCAAAAACCCGCCCAGGGAAACTGCTTGGATTAGGTTTTTGAAACTTATCATAAAAAATGGTGCTTCCTTCCTTAGCAAACCCAGCTAGTGCAAGCCGCCCTCCACCGCGGCATCTGCTCCGCACAGCTCTGTGAAGGGCGTAGGTCTGTGGGGTCGGGGGTGCGTAGGGGAAGACTGGGGGCCATGCTGGGGACCCAGGTGCCTGGTGGGGATAGGACATGGCCTCCAGCAGAGGGTAAGGGAGAGCACACACCTGAGTTCCGACGGCGCCAGGCGTAGATCCACAGGACCACTGCCAGGAGAAGGATGCTGAGCAGAACCCCAGCAGCTTTCGAAGCAATAAGACCACTTCTGTTCCCTGGAGTCCCTGGGGACAAGAGCCTGTGTCAGCCCCAGGGGAAAGGGCCGTGATGCCCTGGCACCTTTCCTCAGCACAGCTGGGGTCCTGAGCCCTGGGAGGGCGGAGTCTAACAGACGAGGAAAAGCCAGGGCTGGTGCACACAGGAGGCCGCCTTCTGGTCTGGGCAGCCTGGCCTGAGCCTGAGCGGCAGGACAGGACTCTGTGCTCTGGTAGGGGGTGTAGGCTGAGGTTGGGGCGCCGTGCCAGAGGAGGAGAATGTGGCCAGCTCCCTCCACCGACCCACCGACATCCGTTCAGAATTAGCATTTAAGGGAAATTCCTCTCTTTCTCTGTATGTCCCATCTTCTAGTAATCTGGCCTCTTGGGAATTTCCCCAGGCCACCTGGGAAGATATGATATGATGCTGGTGTGTCAGCCCCTCACGTAGGACCGGCACTGCCTACTGGGCCCTCAGGGAACCAGCAGCACCATTACAAGACCACAGTGGGACCCCTCAGGGAAACAGCACAGTCTCCATCCTCATAGAAGCCCCAGAGGGGATGAGAGATGCTGGTGAGGCTTCTGACTTTCTGTTGGGTCCGTTCTCCTATCTTCTCATTCAAAAGACTTCTTTTGGCAGATTCCTTCATTCACTGAGCAGACATCTACGGAGTCCTGCCAGGTGCCAGGCCTTGAGGACAGAGCAGTGAAGAGGACAGTGGGGTCCCTGCCCTCCAGGGGTTTATAGTCCAGAGGGGAGGCAGACAATAAACACATAAATACATTTGTGGAAGAGCAAACACGAATAGAGGGTCAGAGAGTGGGGGTAGAGGTGCTTTGCATGCAGATCCTTGGTCCCCAGGTAAACCCAATTCAGACTTCAGATGCCAACGCCACAGACTTACACAGACAACATCCATGGCTCAGAATGACGCTACCACTGGCGATTTTGCCGCTTATGGCACGGTGTTCTGCACCTGTGATTCCTGCCACAAAGTAAGCACTCGGTACACATGGCCTCTGGCTGTCGGTGACATTTCTGTCTCCATGTTTCTCTTCCTGACAAAATCAACAAACCCAGCCTGACCTATGAGTGGTTCTGCCTGCAGGCAGTAGCTCATGGGGGTTGTGAGCCCAGCCTCCCCACCATGGCAACCAAACCAGGGGAGAGATCCGCGGACAGAGCAGCTGGGCTGCTGTGTCCTAGAGAGCAACTTTCTCCTGCTGGGTTGCCTGCTGGGGCAACCACTTGTGCAAAAAACAGAGTCAGCCAAGGTCAGACAGACCAGTGATGAGCAGGAGATTGAATCAGTAACAAACCCTCCAGCCAAAGAAAGCCCAGGCCAGATGGTGTCACTGGTGGGTTCTTCCAAACACTTAAACAAGAGTTAACACTGAGTCTTCCACAAAACTGAAGAGAAGTGAACATTTCCAAACTCATTTTTTGAGGCCAGCGTCACCCTGACACCAAGGTCAGATAAGGACACCACGAGAGAAGTACAGACCAATATGGCTGATGAAAACAGAAGCAAAGATTTCCAAAGAAGATGTGTGAGTGGCCAATGGGCACATGACCAGGGGCTCGATGTCACCGGTCATCAGGGAAACACTAGCCTAAGCCACACTGAGATATCGGCTCACGTCTGTGAGAATGACCCTTATCAGAATGACAAGAAGTAACCAGTGTTGGTGAGGACATGGAAAAAGGAGCCCTTCGTGCCCCGTTGGTGGGAACGTAGGCTGGTGAGCCACTGTGGAAAACAGGATGGAGGTTCCTCACAAAGTTAAAAATATGATCCGGCAATCTCTCTTCTGGGCATGTATTTGAAGAAAGTGAAATCATTATCTGGAAGAGAGTGCCCCCCCATATTCACTGAAGGGATTAGGGTCCTTACAGGAAGGGACCCCACAGACACCTCTCTCTTTCTCTCTTTCTCTCTCTCTATCTCACCCCTCTCACACCTGCTCCAGGAAGGCAGCTGTCTGCAAGGAAGAGGGTTCCCCCCAGAACCTGACCGCACTGGCACCCTGACCAGACTTCCGGCCTCCAGGGCTATGAGAAATGAATTTCTGTTGTTAAAACCGCATGAGCTAAGACAGCCCCCCTTAGCCGGGTGCTCCCAGCAACTGCAGACTTTCTCTGCTGCTAGAAATTCTCCCGTTTCTGAGCACAGAGATTTTGCATAAGGTCCACAAATAAAAAAGATCTGGTGAGAAATTCCCGCTCTGCCATATGTCCCCCGAATCCTTGGCATCTGCTTCATCTCTGAGATCATCTGCTTCCTTAACAGAGGACGACGTCTGCCTTGCAGGGTCATGCAAGCTGGCCCAGTGACATGTGTGAGCCGCCGGCTGGCCGCCCAGAGCACAGGGGGTCGATGCGTTCTACTGACCTTACATCCAAAGGGAAGGTGAACGCCTTCACACACGTGTGCATTTCCAACAGGTTCCTCACTGCCCTCTTCAGGGAGTGCAGCCTTGGGGTCCCCGAGGACATTGTTCAGTACAAGAGGCTTCCTGGAGAAGCAGGTCTCCCCTCGTCAGAGAGCCCCTCTGGGTTTCCAGGCCAGCACGTCTTGGTGGTGGTGGTGGTGGCCCTCAGCAGCTGGTCTCTCTGTGGCTCTTCTCCCTCCTGAAAGGCCATCCATATGACACGAGGCCCCATCTCTGCCCGTCTGTGCTGGGAATCTCAGCCACTCTCACTGTTCACTGAGAAATTTCCAGATCGAGAGGCAGACAGTCCCGTGGTATCTGCTGGTGGGAAGACCTACCTGGGGACGTCCCCCTTGGTCACAGGACTTGCCTCGAGGGAGCTGAGGGGAAAAGGGCAAAGCAGCTGGGCCGCCCGTGTAGCAACCCTTCCCACAGCTGCTGTCCCGACAGTTCAGGGTCACAGTTCCGTCAGGGCTCAGTGCTCACAGACACAGCACCGTCCTCTGCCTGTTCAGTGTGGTGGATGGACCGCGGGACTTGCCTGTGCACCACTTCTTTGGAGGACTGACGATGCCCTCTGTCTCTCCGAGCTAAATAATTGGGTGGAGGTGTGCTCTTTGTGACCTTGTGAACGATACCAAATCTTTCTGGGCTTTGTGCTCCTTTTCTTAGAATGGAGATACTGATATCCTGGTCTTCTGGGATTGATACTCTGGTTTCTAAAATGATGTGTGTAAAATTCGCTTACTCCGTACATATTTACTGAATGCCGCATATGGGCTAAGCCCTAGCCCAGCCACCGGGGATACAATAGTGGTCAAAATAAAGACTTGCCTTCGTGAGGCGAGTATGGGGGGAGTGGTAGGGACAGAGACATGGCATGGAGTCCAGGGATAAGTGCTTCGAGGAAGAATCCAGGGGGTTCTGGGGAAGGGGTGTCAAGGTGAAGGGCTCCTGTGTTACACAGGTGGTTTGGAAAGGTCTCCCTAAAAAGGGGAGTAGAACCTTGGGGGAGATGAGTGGTGAGCACAAGAATATTATGGAAGAGAAGTGCAAAGGCCCTGAGGTGGGACCATGACTGGAAGGCTTGAGGAGACAGGAGGTCATGGTGACCAGAGCGGAGGAGGGAAGGGGAGGGTGGATGGAGAGCAGGACCTCGGGGGCCACTGAGGATGATGGCTGTCCCTCTGGAGCCGGCGGGAAGCCAAGAGAGGATTTCATGCAGAAAAGCAACGTGACTTAGAGGTTCCTTCTGATGCTGCACTGGGAGTAGACTGTGGACAGCTGTGGTGATGCAGTAACCCAGGAAGGAGCCCAGGGGCTTGGGTCAGGAGGTGGCCGAGGAAGTGGGAGGAATCAGTCACCTCTGTGCTGTGTCCTGAAGGTAGAGCCAGCAGGACTGGCAGCGGCTTTGACGTGGAAGACAAAGTAAGAAGGAAAGTCAAGAACGAAGCCCAGAGCTTTGACCTAAGCAAGGGGGGCGGGGTTTGTTTACCCAGGGGCTGCGTCACACGGGATGGGATTGCCTCGAACACCAAGACTGTGTTTCTGGATGAGTCCCGTTTGCGATGGCGCTTAGCCACTCCCGGGGGGCCACTTGATTTAAACGCTTGGTTGTGCGGGTTTTGAGCTCAGGCTAGAGGTCTGGGCTGTAGGTGGAGTCGGGAATCATAAGTATACAGAAGTCAAACATGCATTTGAAGTCAGTAGACAGGATGGCACGATGCAGACAGTGGGCACAGACGGGGAGGTCTGAGGACATAGACCCGCGTGCCCCTGGTCCAGAGCTGGAGATCCAGGGAGGACCTCATGAGGGAGCCTGGCAGGAGAGTCTGACAGATGGGCAAAGGACCAAGAGTGAGCCACGTCTGAGAAGCCAGGGAGGAACGTGGTCCAAGAAGGCAGGGAGGGCCAGCTGCGTCCAAACTGGTGACAGGGAAACCGAGTTGCCACTGACTTCAGCAACGTGGAGGAGAGTAGACCTTCACCTGAGCGACTTTGGTGGCAGGAGGCAAGGCCGGTGCTGACAGGGCGAGACGGGGTAGAGGCGGAGGGAGTGAGTGGGGTGATTCTTTGGAGGAGTTCACTTTCCGGGAGCCGCTCCGTGAAAGTGCTATTGGAGGGCAGGGGTGTGACCGAGCCTGACGGAGAGGGGACTGAAGGTCGACAGGGCCACGAGGGCTGCATGGGAGCCTGGCTTGTGTGGCTTCCTGGGGACAGAGTAGGGGAAAGCAGAGGCCAGAACTCTGGGACCCAGCGGAAGACTTGTCCCCTCAGCGCAGGTGACTGGGCTCTGCGTCGGCTCCCCGTGCCCGTTGGCTTCTCGGCCTGTGAGGGGGTCGGGCCCTGAGGCTGTCAGGCCTGTAGAACGGATGAAGCAGGGCCTGTGGCCGGCTGTGTCAGGTTTGCGGGGACGGTGGACATGCTGTGATGACTCACGGAGAGGCGAGGACCCTGAGGGCCCATTAACCAGCTAATGCTGCTCTTGGACACCAACCCGTGATGCAGCAGAGTGCACACACGTACCATTGTCTCCAGCCCGCGAAAAGGCTCCTGGCCAGCACTCCCTCCCTGGAGAACCTCACCACGCCCCGAGTGTTAGTATTTGTGTTTAGAAACTGCCTGTCACGCTGTCTCAATAACAAAATGCGGATCATATGTGTTCTGTTAGGTTCTAAGTTTAGCTGAGATGATATATGTAAAGCCTCCAGTAAACAAACAGGAAATGCTTAACAAAAAAAAAAAGAAGAAGAAGAAGACGAAGACGAAGAAGAAAGAAAGAAAGAAAGAAAGAAAGAAAGAAAGAAACTGCCTGTCACCACGGAAAGTGGCAAAATGGAGCCAGAAAGAGGAGAACCAGCAGGAGGCTGGCCGTGCCCACCCCAACCTGAGAGCGCTGCGCGTTCTGAACAAAGCCCATGGAGACTCAGCCTCACCTGTGACGGTGACGTTCAGGGCCCCGCTGCGGGCGAGGCCGTGGCCGTTGTCCGCTGTGCAGTAGTACTGCCCCGTGTGACTCCCCACGACAGCAGGGATCTCCAGCTCTGCTCTCTGGGAACGCTGACGCGTGCTCCCCAGACTCTCCCCCGTGTCCTCTCTGTGCCAGGAGAACGTGGTGTCCCCTGTGCCTTCAGCCACAGAGCAGACGAGGACCAGACGCTCCCCTGCAAGCACGTGGCCCCCCTGGGGCTGGGTCTCCAGGAGCACGGCAGACACTGGGACACCTGCGTGAGCACGAGAGGACAGGTGAGGGCAGGTGAGGGCCACCGGGACATCTATGTGAGCACAAGAGGGCGGCTGAAGGCAGGGGAGGGCCGCCGGGACACCCGTGTGAACATGAGAGGGCCAGGGAGGGTCTGTGGGGGGAGGGCAGGGCTGGCATGTTGGATGGGGCTCTGTAGCCTATAGGCTGTGCAGTTCCGAGCTAGAACATCACCAGATTTAATAGTTCCTGACACACGAGGCCACTGGAGAGGAAACCTGGCTACCCCTGGAGAAGCCTTTGAGTTTTGTCTGAGGTCCTGCCTGACTGTCTGGATTGTCTGCAGGGACACGTAGCCAAGAGAGTGGCCCCCCTGGAGCCGGGCTGGACCACACCCATTTCCAGGAGTCGTGCTTGGTCCCTGAGACAAGACGATACTTACCGTATTTACATTTACCCGTGCATCCTTCTCTTGTGCATCGCACTTGGCTGGCACGCCCATCATTTGCTGCTGTTGATGAGGAAGAGGCTGACGCTTATCTCCTCAATGGTTTGCCCCAAGATCTGGCCTTCTAGAATGTGGCATCTCAGGGCACCTTATTTCTTGGTTCTGTTTGTTTTCCCTAACTCTCGAATCTAACTTCACGAACCGCCTCTATGATTTCGAGGTGCTGGAGTTCCAAAGGAAGTCTGAGTTTTTAGGCAGATAGTGGTGGAAATGAGCCCTGTAATTCTATTGTCGTACCTGACTCCAGGGCCAGCCTGTGTCCATCAGGATGACCAAATCCATCTGTGCTGGGTGGTCCCTCCCTGCACAGGGCCATGGGGAGCCACAGGGGAGGGTGCCACAGCCCTGGCTCTCTGCCACCTGGACACTCACCGTGCACACGGACCTGCAGGGGGAGGCTGCGTTTGTGGATGCCGGAGACGGCTTCCGAGGCCTCACACCAGTACGACCCCGAGTCCTCCCTCCAGACGACTGTGATCTGGAGTTCCGGAGACCTGCTCCAGCTCGATAACATGACCCCATGGTCCCTGAAGAAGATGAAGGACAGCAGAGCGTCCGACCGCTCGAGGGGCAGCTGCGTCCGACAGCTCAGGTTTACAGAGCCACCCTCCATGGGCTGGGGCGGTATGACTTCCAGCTTTGGTTGTGGAAATAGTTCTGGAGAGAAGAGGGAAACCACGTTCTCAGGATGCGGCACTTAGAGCCCCGGGATGGGCAGGCTTGGCTGCTTGGTTCTAGGAAACTTCAGACAGGCACACAGCAAGACAGAGACTCGTTGACCCCGCTATCCCGTTGTCCTTCGGCAGCTCCCAGTGCAGTGACCCCGCTGTGTCTGCTGGAGGACCTACAGCTGTCCTTATCCGGAGTTGGGGCGCTAACATACGGATCCCCCATCAAGCCCTCCCCGCCCTGACATGACTCAGCAACCTACATGAGACGAAGGGCGTACCTTGAATGTTAACATATCTGGCACTTGACCTGTATGGGTAACGATTTCCCTGCAGAAATCCAGAGCATCCATAAAAGCCACTGTTGTTCAGACTTGCTTGTGGTATCACAAGGTCTCGGGCTTCTGGGGAGGTGGAGACAACTTTCCTGTTCCAGCTGTACGTCACAGTGCCCAGTTTCTCTCCCTGCCTCACTCGGCATCGCAGAACGAGCGTGTCACCTTCAAACACAGAGGCCGGAGCCTGAAGGACGAGCCGTTCTGGAAAGCACAGAGACCAGCGCCTGTCATTCAGGGACACCCCCTTCCCCGAGCAGCTCGGCTCACGAGGCTCGACTGGCTCTTTTTTCTCTTCCACAGGATTTAGGCTCCGGCCCAGGCTCACTCGTTTCTTCCCAATTCTCATGACCTGTTTCTTAAATAAGCCCCAAACACTCCAGCTCGACCCCTGCTTCCTACTCAAGGACAGATTCATCGTATGAGGATTCTAACGTGGGGACGGAGAGCTGAGTGGGATGTGGGTGACACTCCGACATAGCTGAGCACAGTTAAGGATTGCCACCAGCCTGCTCCCAGGGTCCCAGAGCGAGAGTCACCGCAGAGGAAACAGACTAGGAAGGGTCACCGCACTCGGGGGCTCGCCAGGCAGCAGGCTCACTCTCAGACACAGACCCAGGGGTGAGGGATGGGGAATGGGGTCCCGTGAGGACATTCTCCTGCTCTTCAGCTCTGCGTGACAGGCCCGTTCTGGCCCCTCTGTCGGCGGTGACTGAGGGACGGCCTCTTCCCCGGAGCAGGGCTGTGCAGTGGTCCCAACCATTCTCTGTGAAGTAGGCAAAGCAGGACACGAGAGCGTAGGAAGAGAGTGGAGCCCCTGAGGCGGAAAGTGGGAGTAGAGAAGGGACAGGCGCGAGAACAGGTGGGGACAGAGGCCTGAGGTGGAGACTCCCTCCTCCGAACTCTTGTCCTACGCTACTTTTCACACCTGCTTGGTGCTCAGTAAACTCATGTCCATGTTGTTTCTCCTGCAGGGGGCTGTGCGTCTCTGGAGGGCCGGCGCTGAGGTGGCTTCTGTTTTGAATCCCCTAAAATGAACTCCTTCCTCCGCTGTGTAAATGCACAGGGAGGTCCGCGGATTGCATCAGACGATGACACTCTAACGTCAACAGAAGTTTGAAAAACACCTGTAGACACGAGGAACTCTAGGACACGAAGCCGGCAGGGGTCAAGGGTTAGAGCCGCAGGAATGACCTCGGGTCTCGCCAACTCCAGGGGACTAGGAGGCGTCAGAACCACTTCTATTGTTTGAACTAACCCACGCTCTTGCTCACCTGAAGAAAAGATCAAGCTGACGCTGTCACTTAGGAGTGAGCCCCGGATCTGGCACCTGTACATTCCAGAGACACGGGCCTTGAGGGTGTTTCCTGGGGTGTCACGTAGCACTGCTGCCCCAAGGAACCACCGGTGCCATTTCATGTTCTCTGCTGCGTGGATGCGTGACGCATTGCAAGTCAGAGTCACTGTCTCTCCTCTGAAGACGGTGGTCCATGGGGGATGGAGGGAAATCACAGGTTTGGCTGCAGCTGGGAGGAAGGAAGAGACAGAGTCTGAGAAGGAGGCCTCTGTGGTTCGCACAGCAGTTGGCTGTTTCACTGGCCGGCCCCGGTGATAAACTAAGAGGAAAGAGACGTTGCTCTTCCTGAGATGTTACTCCCTGTTGGAAACATGCTCTCGCACCCCGTCCCCCTGTTGCTGCCGTCCGCCGGCTGCAAGAGCCTCGTGTTGCTGGGCTAACCAGGTGGGCGCTGCTGTGCGAGGGAAGGGGATTGGAACGTGTCCTCCCGGACTCCTGTGAGAGGCAGGAATTCAGGACGCTGGGAGCAGTTAGCGGTCACAGGATCCAGTTCTGGGTAAGGGGATGTCGGGGGAATAGAGCCAGAAGGGGCTGGGAATGGGCTGCTGTGGGAGGTTTCACCCCCGCAGGAAGGGAGCAAAGCAAGGTCAAGGTCAGGACAGGGTTGTGGGGGAGCTCTCTTACAATTTTAGTTGCCTCCCTCCTCCCCCAGCTTTGCTCCCCGAGCCGTCAGGATGGCTGCAGTCGCAGCAGCTCCCACAGTTAAAAAATCAATATTCGATTCAATTTGTTCTGCAAATTGCCTGTGGTAATCTAAATTCTGCGAAGCAGAAAATAAGCCAGATTATTTCCATGTGCATTATTTTGTTTTTCAAAACTAAAATCTCAATTATGGGGGTATGTAATTTACCATAAAATTTTAAGTGGAATCCCCTGAAGTGGGTTCCGTTTTCAGTACCTTGACGCCCGGATAAGGAGGACTGCCTGCATGTAAGGACCCACAGACGGTGGCTGTTTTTAAAGCTTGAGACCTGGAGTTGTCTTGCCTTTGTCGACAAGAATGCCCGACTCGGCATTGGAAGGGGAGGTGAACCATGAGAGACTGTGGACTCTGAAAAACAATCTGATGGTTTTGGAAGGGCGGGGGGTGGGAGGTTGGGGGAACCAGGTGGTGGGTATTGGAGAGGGCACGGACTGCATGGAGCACCGGGTGTGGTGCAAAAACAAGGAATACTGTTACGCTGAACATAAAAAAAATGATTAAAAAAAAACCAAAAAAAAAAAAAAAAAAAGAATGCCCAACTTGGTCTTTCAGTTACACCTGAATGTAACGGAAGTGCCCCCCTGTGGAGGAGGCAGACACCTTAGAGGAAGCCGAGCGCCAGTTTTAGACGAAGCAGCTCGGGGCTCTGTCTGGTCACACAGACGTTCCTGGGTCTCTGCGGACCTTTTCTTTTTCAGAGGATTTTAAGATTATTCCGTGTTCCCAGTGAGCAGGGGTCGTGTTTCTGCTGGAGAGAAGAGAAATCCCCGCTGTCTGTGTTCTCAGGAAGTCTCCGGGATGGGACATGGGGACCGGGCAGCAGATCTCGTGCCCGAGAGAGGGGAAACTTCTGCTGAGGGGAGCCGCCTGCTTCCTCACCAGTCCCCACTGCCCCTGCTGTGTGCTGCAGGACGGACGGCTCCTCTCGTTGGGGCCTCGCCAGTGAGGCTGGGATGGGGTCAGTGATGTCTAGCGTAAGCACGTCTGGCAGCTGATCTAAGACACTTCCTGTATTTTGTTTCTCCATCCTGGAGCTTTTAGCAAAGTCCTGTCAAGTCACAGTCTCTTCCCAGTTGGGCAGCGATGTGTGGGAGGGTCTGTGTCCGCAGCACTGAGCAGGGGACTGCAGAGCCTGGAGCTGCAGGGGAGGGCGTGCGCACCTGCTGGTTGGGGCCGGACGACAGCAAGCAGCCCCCAGGATGAACTCGGTGCTCTTGAAGGGATTTTCAGGGAAGACCACAACACCTGGAGACCCTTCTGCTGGCCCAGGAAGGCTGGGGTCCCTGATGACCGGAGGACGGGCACTCAGAGGCATCATGATTTGAGCCATTCACAGGAAGATGTCTACACAGCGTGCTGGAGCGTCAGGTGGTTGCATGTGGTTGTGGCCATGCTGGGCTGGGCCAGGGAGGGTGGAGGACAGAGCTCTTTGTGCCCTGGGCCCCCCGCTCCGACCGCACTGGGATCTCAGCCTATTCCCAGTGTCCCTCCAGGGTCTGTGTTCTCGGTCAGGTTGGCCGCACCCCACATCAGGTGGGGGCACACGCCTCCTTGACCTCTGTGTCCTGCGTCCCAGGCCCCCAGTTTCACCCGACACAATGGCGGGTTTGGCTCGCGAGTGTGACTCCCAGCTCCTAGGGTCCGGGTTGAAGGACAGGGTGACACTGCCCTGCCTGAAGTCCTCAGGACAAGGACACGGGGACCAAGCCCCCCCCTTACCAGCATGCCTTCCAGAAATGGTCACTAGAACATCTAGAAACAAAAGAAAGGAAAAGGGGACCGACTTACCGAGCTCTCCAATGACTGGCGCTGCAAGAAAGGTGAGGGCCACGGTCAGCACAAAGCACAGAGCTGAGCCCTCCCACCCAGAGAGCCCGCTGCCCGCCCCACTCCATCCGAGGGTGGGAGAGGAGGGCCCGGCTCCACCCCTGGAGAAGCCAGGGCCACCGAGGCTTGAAGCTGAGTGGCGTGGTGCTGGGCAAGCTGTGGAAGGCTCCCCAGCCTCCCTCTCCTCATCTGTCACACAGGCACCATAAAAGTGACCTTGTAGTCTTATTTCAATGAGTTGAATTAGTAAGTCTTCCGTTGATGGCCACTATCACTGTCTGTCAGACCCGACCATGCTGTGGCTGCTGCTGCCCCTTGGCTTCACCGTCTCCCTGCCTGGAATGTCAGTCTCCTTCAGTACCAGGAAAAGCCACGTCATACCCAAGCCCTCACACCCCGATGAAAGCCACCTCCTCCATGAAGTGTTCTTGGATGCCTCAGGGATGCAGTGCCCTCACTCTGCTCTAGGCTAAGAACACCGGGATCACAGCTCTCCGGGACTGGTAATCAGACATGCAGCGCCGGACAGGGGCTAGTAGCGCGGTCCTGGTGTCACAGGTGGGTCTGCATCCCGACCTGGCCACTGCATGGAGCTTAAGACAAATGACTATCTCTGTGCCTTGGCTTCCTTATCTGCAAAATGGGATTTATAGCAGTTCCAGCTCATTGATTATTAGAGGATTGGACAGATCAATACATGCAATGCTCTTAGAAGAGTGTCTGGTAAAGTCAAGGCTCAGCAATTAATTATTAATTACTATCAGCAAGAATGAATAATTATCACACATTATCTTGACCCACAGTGTAATATTTTTGTGTGGGTTTTCAAGTCAAATGCTCTTGCATTTGTCCTTTGATTTCCTCACCAGAAGGTCAGCTTTTGGGGGCAGAGATTGTCCTCTGTGTCCCTGTGTCCTCCCACTGCCCAGCACTGCACTGGGCCCGGGGTCCCCCTTCATTCACTTTTCACCGAGTTCCCATGATGGGCAGCCACACTAATAACTCTTCCTTTAGTTGGGGTCTGGAAGTACCGCTGGGCATAAGACAGACACACTTCATAACTATGTAGTGTACAACTGGCTGACAGGTCTTTGTTTCCCTCATTGGAGCTACTAGGAAACCTGCCTCACTTAGACAAAGATTGAAAACTGGTACAGAAGCAGGGGGAAATAATCCAAAGGAAACCACCTTATTTCTGCTCCGCTCATGCTTCCTGCAGTTACTGGAGCAGACATGATCGTGAGCTACAGAGAAGGAATGACCATCCCCAGCAGAAGCTCAATCCTACGTCAGCTCACAATCAGGATACTCACACAGATTCCGTACATCCTTCAGCCTTCATGATCTGTGATTAGGGAGGTGACAAAACCTAACTGTAGATTTTTTTTTTAAAGATTCTATTTTTAAGTCATCTCGACACCCAACGAGGGGCTCACACTCACAACCCTGAGATCAAGAGTCAAACGCTCTACCGACTGAGCCGGCCAGGCGGCCCCTAACCGTAGATTTTTTTTACATGGAAAAATAAGCCCACTTCTGGGGTAGGAGGAAGTTGTTGTGGGCAATTAAAAACAAGTGATGGATGTGCTTTTGGAAACCAAGTCTCCCAGGCCCTCAATATCTTCCCCTTTGCTCATTCCCTGTGGTTCTGAAATAAGAGCGTAACCCATTTGTGCCACAGCCCGCTGGGGACGGCGTTTGCTCATGGATTGGCCCCGTCTCCTCCCAGAGCAGAGGCTTCCCCTCCAGCACTTACCGAGGACGAGCAGAGATGTCCACAGGAGCATGGGAGCATGCCCCGGGATCCCGAGGAGCGGCAGCGTGCACAGGGGCCCGTCTCGGGCCCGCAGCCAGCGCAGCAGGTGCTTCTGAGAACAGCTCACAGCAGTCATGAAGTGAAAAGGGAAGTAGAAGAATCTTTCTTAAAATACCGGCATCATGGCACCCGATGTCAGAGACTCCCGGTGACAAAAGTCACTATTTAACAGAAGTACTGCTCTGACTTCTTGGTGTGAAAAGCTTCCTAAAGCTTTAGTTACCGTATTTTCAGAAATTCCAGCCGCTTTCTCCAAGGACGACGCAACACATTCTCTCTGCTTCCAGATACCAGGCAAAACTGCAGTCCTGCTGAGATTCATATAATCCAAGGATGAACCCGAATCACGCCAGAGCTGGAGGAGTTCTCTTTCCTTCTTCCTTTGCTTCCTTTTTCCTTTCCTTCCTTTCTCCTTCCTGCCTCGCCCCCTCTCCTTTCTCTTTCTTTCTTTCTTTCTTTCTTTCTTTCTTTCTTTCTTTCTTTCTTTCTTCTTTCTTTCTTCTTTCTTTTGTTCCTTCCTTCTTTCTTTCAGATTTTATTTATTTATTTGACAGTGAAAGAGGGAACACAAGCAGGGGAAATGGGAGAGGGTGAAGCAGGCTTTCTGCCAAGCAGGGAGCCCAATGTGGGGCTCGATCCCAGTACCCTTGGGATCATGACCTGAGCCAGAGGCAGACACCCAACAGTCTGAGCCACCAAGGCACCCCAAGAGGTTCTCTTCCCGTGCAGAAAGACTCTCCTCTGAACACTCAGGCCTCTGCCGGACCACTTGCAGCCGACCGTCCATATACGATGAAGCATCTGAACCATCAGACAGTTCATCGCCTGTCTGATGTATATGAAAATATCTTGACTCATTTGTCTCGGAGGAAGCGACCGACTTTGATCTGATTAGGAGGTAGAGTGCAGAATGAATTATAGCCCCATCTCGCTCTTCCTGGAGAATGGACTGTAACGTTTTTGACTTAGTGTTCTAGAATCTAAAATCTGTTACAGGAACGTTTCGACATATGCACAGGGATTCTAGAACGGTATGATATGCACGGGGCCGGGAGCTGGGAGTGCAGTGGTAAGCATGACTCTGTACACTTTCACTCTGGTGGGGCAGGCAGAAGAGGGAGTTAGCTACAGAGTGGGAAGTGCTCTGATAGCTCAATAGGAGGGAAATCTAACCCAATTCTGGAGACCCAGGAGAGCTTTTTCAGTGGAAGTGACACCTGACTTGAGAAGGAAGCATTCTGGGACACAGTGATGAGCATGGGCAAAGGTGGAAAGTGGTCACTGTCACCGTTACCGTCATCCTCACCCTTGAGATACCCATGAGTAAATGACCCTTGATCTTTCCGTGAGTGGAAGACATCAGAGGATGAGTTATGAGTGGTCGGTATTGCTCTAATAGAACAACGTGCTTCTGCGCACCTGTCCTAGCTTCTTTCTCTAACGAGGGCTTATATGAACATTGATTATGTTGCAGGCAATGTCCAGGACCTGAGAAGCATAGTAAGATGAATAAGCTACATTTTTTTCAAGACTTATACAATGTGGCAAGAGCCACAGCAGCCATAGACATCAGGCGCTCTGGGGACATACAGGGTGTCAAGGCGGCATCTGGCCCTTTGTCACCCAGCCCTCTGACCTCTCTGCCCTGTCTCAGCGGCCCTCAGTTGTCTCAGGAAGGCTGAGATGAGATGCTTCTGGATGCAAATCCTGGCCCTGCCCCTATTTGTTCATGTGACCTTGGTCAAGTAGCCAATCAGCATCCTTGGGGCCCACTCTCAGCACTGGGACAAAGGAGGTGAAGGTGATAACCACTTCGGGAGGATGCTGGTATCAAAGTATGTGCGAGGGCAGTGACGCTGCAGAGCTCGTGGCCCAGAACCCGGCACGCTGTGAACAGTGTCACTATGACTCTTTTAGGGCCAGGAACTGGGACCATACAGGTTTCAACCAACAAGAGTGGTTTACACAAGTGGGGAACTTGAACATTATTGGTTGACCAAGACCTGAGGGGAACTTGAAGTCCTATCCTGTTTCCTTGTTTCTGACATCAGTTTTGTTGAATGAGTGGATTTTAATTATCAAATGAAATTTTGCATTCTTGACATGAGATAAGATGTCCAAACACACAGGTCATGTTACAATCAACTTCCAAAGACTTAAATAGTTTAAATAAGTCAAGTACTATTTTTCATTTTTGTGTTTGAGTCACTGAAATGGATGCTTCAGTTCCTGGCCCCGAAACTGTGGTTTCATTTCGAAATATCAGCCATGGGTTGTGTATACCATAGTTTACTAGGTTGTGTCTTGATTAATCAGGAACAGCATTTAGATTTTACATGAAGGGAGGACAGTGATACTTGTAGTCAGTAACTGTAAGAAACTGTGAAAATCCTGATCTTTTTCATATACAAAGAAAAAAAAAAGCATTTAAAACTCTATACCTCACAAGAATAAACCTTAAATTTTGGAGTGAGTTTAGACTCACAAAAAAGTTGCAAAAACAGGAGAAAAAGTGCCTTGTATCCCTCACCCTGTTCCTGCTTCCCTGAACGTTGTCATCTTACACTATTGTGGTTCACCTGTCAATACTAAGAAACCAGGATGGGTCCCTTAGGATTAGCTCTACTCTTTATTCAGATTTCACCAGGTTTTCCATTATACCCCTTTCCTCTTCCGGTATCCCATCCAAAATACCACATCTCATTTGTTTACCTCTCCTTAGTCTCCCCTGGTCTGTGACCGTCTCTTAGTCTTCCCAGGATTTTTTGTGACCTCGGTGGTATTGAGGAACATTGGCCAAATATTTGGTAATGTCTTTGGTCTGGGTTTGTCTGACTCTTTCCCATGAAAACATGAACCTAGGGATATGGGCTTTCAGAAAGAATGCCACAGGACTTGAGGGTACTTCTTGTCACATCCTACCAGGGAGCCTGTGGTAGTGACATTATTTCTTGCAGGGGCTGCTCATTGTGACCACGGGGTTCCAGTGGTCTCCCCAGGTCTCTTCAGTGTGAAGATGCTATTTGTCCCTTTCCACACTCGGCTGTTTGGAAACAAGCCCTGGGTCCTGTCCCTCAGGGGATAGGACAAGGAAGGGGTTAAATTCCAGCTCTGTGAGGAAGACTTGTCTCTTCTCCTTCATTTATTTATTTGTCTGTGTGTTCACTCATTCATTCAATCATTTGTTTCTATCTCCTCCAACTCATGTGCATTTATTTTGTGCACTGGGTGACAATCCACGCTACCTCATTTATTTCACTGCCCAAATGTTCCAGCGTAGACCACTGGGGGCTCTTTCAGATTAGCTCGTAGGTCCCTTGGACATGTCCTCATCCTTTTGCTTTTTCCTGAGCACTTCCAGAACTTTCTGGCACCACAAGTTTCTCTGGTCTTGTCTTGTGTTTTCCTGCCCCAGCTCTAGAATCAGCCATTCCTCCAAGGCTCCCTGTCTTTTTCTGTGGAAAATGGCATTTAGAATCTAAGATCTGGGTGCTGGGTATGTTCTTCATTACTGGGGGAAAGTTATGAATTTTTAAGTGAGGGACAGGAAATCTGTCATCTTGAGAGGACTTTATGAGTGGAAAAAAAACTGAACAGATAAATTTGTTATA